GTTCTACAGGATCTATGGCCATGTCGTAATGTCAGGATTACTGTTTGATCCAGCACGTAGAACTGTACAGCACGGATGACAAATAAGTAACGTATTACCGGTCCTTAGAATGGCCGGATTTAACGTACAAAGAATAGTCAAAAATACTAGCCGAGGTCAGGGAACACAGAAAGGGACACAGCGATGAGGAAAGCCAGGAGTCAGGATACCAGAATATAGAGAAGTCAATAAACAAAGCCAAAGTCAAAAACCAGGTAGAAAACTATAAACAGGAACGCGCTCTCAGACAACCACAAGGGAAACCACGACAGGGCACTGAGCAGGCTGAGAACTGGGCCTAAATACCCCTCCTTTAGTTCTGATAGGCTGTAACCGGCCTTTGACCCCAAAGTCAGTTACCAGGTTTAATTTGCATAATTGCTGTTCAGCATTAACCCTTCTGTGGATTAGGTTGCTGCTCGGCACAACTTTTCCTGTGTGGACAGTAGATGTCATTAACCACATTTCTATAAGCGGATGAATACGTGACACCAGGTTTCATTTGCACAATTACTGCTCAGCATTAACCCTTCTGTGGATTAGGTTGCTGCTCGGCACAACTTTTCCTGTGTGGACAGTAAATGTCATTAACCACATTTCTATAAGCGGATGAATACGTGACAATGTGTTGGAATATATTTTATAAAGTCGGTTTGGTGTCTGGTACCAGCTATGAGCTAGTTTTTTTGCACCACTATATATGAGTAACAAGAAGTGAGGCACTTTAACATATTTAATGACTCAATTCACTGTTGCCCCATTGGCACCTGGTCTCATTCAGCCCTTCATTGTAACATGAAACGAAATTGTTTGTCAGAAATGATCTCTAGTATTGTTTTTTTTTCACATAAAGATAATGTCTTTGCCCCATGTGGAATGGACCATTAGAGGAAGTAGGGGAAGTGGATAAGCCTGTATGGTGGTAAACATGAGATGATGCTCTTCAGTTGGAGATACTGGAAAATAAATGAATTAGGTAGGGCATGTTTGCACTGAATTTCAGGGAAAGGCAACATGGCATGGTCAAGAAAGACATAACTTTTGTGGAGGATTACATATTTTTGCCAGTGTGTAGAAATATAGGAATTGTAAATTTTGTCCTTTAATTTAACAAACTCTGGATGTCCCTTCAAAACATTTTTGAAAAGTATTAGCACAAAATGGATTAATGCAGAAATGATTCAAATGTAGATAACAAAAAAATAATTCTGATTATCCTGTCATGAAGACAATATAATTAGTTATTCACAAATTATTAGCAGGTGTGCTAGTTTAAAAATAATACTGTCACTGATCTTTTGGTAGGTGTTTTACAATACAAGTAATTTGCTTTTACAGTTGCAAGAAAAAGTATGTGAACCCCTTGGAATGATATGGATTTCTGCACAAATTGGTCATAAAATGTGATCTGATCATCTAAGTCACAACAATAGACAATCACAGTCTGCTTAAACTAATAACACACAAAGAATTAAATTTTGCCATGTTTTTATTGAACACACCATGTAAACATTCACAGTGCATGTGGAAAAAGTATGTGAACCCCTAGACTAATGACATCTCCAAGAGCTAATTGGAGTGAGATGTCAGCCAACTGGAGTCCAATCAATGAGATGAGATTGGAGGTGTTGGTTACAGCTGCCCTGCCCTATAAAAAACACACACCAGTTCTGGGTTTGCTTTTCACAAGAAGCATTGCCTGATGTGAATGATGCCTCGCACAAAAGAGCTCTCAGAAGACCTACGATTAAGAATTGTTGACTTGCATAAAGCTGGAAAGGGTTATAAAAGTATCTCCAAAAGTCTTGCTGTTCATGAGTCCACGGTAAGACAAATTGTCTATAAATGGAGAAAGTTCAGCACTGCTGCTACTCTCCCTTGGAGTGGCCGTCCTGTAAAGATGACTGCAAGAGCACAGAACAGACTGCTCAATGAGGTGAAGAAGAATCCTAGAGTGTCAGCTAAAGACTTACAAAAGTCACTGGCAAATGCTAACATCCCTGTTAGTGAATCTACAATACGTAAAACACTAAACAAGAATGGATTTCATGGGAGGATACCACAGAAGAAACCACTGCTGTCCAAACAAAACATTACATAGAAACATAGAATGTGACGGCAGATAAGAACCATTCGGCCCATCTAGTCTGCCCAATTTTCTAAATACTTTCATTAGTCCCTAGTCTTATCTTATAGTTAGGATAGCCTTATGCCTATCCCACGCATGCTTAAACTCCTTTAGTGTGTTAACCTCTACCACTTCAGCTGGAAGGCTATTCCATGCATCCACTACCCTCTCAGTAAAGTAATACTTCCTGATATTATTTTTAAACCTTTGTCCCTCTAATTTAAGACTATGTCCTCTTGTTGTGGTAGTTTTTCTTCTTTTAAATATAGTCTCCTCCTTTACTGTGTTGATTCCCTTTATATATTTAAATGTTTCTATCATATCCCCCCTGTCTCGTCTTTCCTCCAAGCTATACATGTTAAGATCCTTTAACCTTTCCTGGTAAGTTTTATCCCGCAATCCATGAACCAGTTTAGTAGCCCTTCTCTGAACCCTCTCTAAGGTATCAATATCCTTCTGAAGATACGGTCTCCAGTACTGTGTACAATACTCCAAGTGAGGTCTCACCAGTGTTCTGTACAATGGCATGAGTACTTCCCTCTTTCTACTGCTAATACCTCTCCCTATACAACCAAGCATTCTGCTAGCATTTCCTGCTGCTCTATTACATTGTCTGCCTACCTTTAAGTCATCAGAAATAATCACCCCTAAATCCCTTTCCTCATATGTTGAGGTGAGGACTCTATCAAATATTCTGTACTCTGCCCTTGGGTTTTTACATCCAAGATGCATTATCTTGCACTTATCCACATTAAATGTCAGTTGCCACAATTCTGACCATTTTTCTAGTTTAACTAAATCATTTGTCATTTGGCTCAACCCTGTTACATATCTTAGTATCATCAGCAAAAAGACATACCTTACCATCAAGACCTTCTGCAATATCACTAATAAAAATATTAAAGAGAATTGGTCCAAGTACAGATCCCTGAGGTACCCCACTGGTGACAAGTCCAAGCTTCGAATATATTCCATTAACTACAACCCTCTGTTGCCTGTCACTCAGCCACTGCCTTACCTATTCAACAATATTGGAATCCAAACTTAAAGATTGCAGTTTATTGATAAGCCCTCTATGTGCAACAGTGTCAAAAGCCTTACTGAAATCTAGGTAAGCAATGTCTACTGCACAACCCTGATCTATAATTTTAGTTACCCAATCAAAAAAATCAATAAGATTAGTTTGGCATGATCTCCCTGAAGTAAACCCATGTTGTCTCTGATCTTGAAATCCATGTGTTTTTAGATGTTCAACAATCCTATCCTTTAACATGGTTTCCATCACTTTCCCCACTACTGAAGTAAGGCTTACTGGCCTATAGTTGCCCGACTCCTCCCTATTAACTTTCTTGTAAATTGGGCATAACATTCACTAACTTCCAATCTTCTGGGACTACTTTGGGTGTATTCCATCAGGTTCCATTGACTTATTTGTCTTTACTTTTGACAGTTGAAATAGAACCTTAGCTGTTCTGTTTCATCCCTGAAATAACTTGGGTGCTTTTGCTACAATTTGGATCAATCTTGAAAGGATTCAAAGGATTCAACATGGAGCTATTTCAGATTAATTCAGAGGTTAGTTTGCTCATTTAAATGATAGTATTTTATTAAGTTTGCAACTTCAAATCACCCCCAAAATATCTACCTATCCCCCCAAAGATATGTATCACTCTAAATTTGAACTTTGTCAGAATACTATGTGAGCACCTATGAGTTCTACAGTGAAATGACTAGATATCTCTATAAAGTGTGGATTCATATTAAAAATATAAGCCTTAAAAATGTTGAACCCTGGTAAAAAGGAAAACATGATCACTCTACTTTACAGTTTGGAGCTGGTGAATAAGCAATGGGAAAATACGCCTTAAATTAATCTGGGTTGGAAAATGTTTTTCCACAGTTATTTTTTCACCTGCGGTACACACAGTGGCCCTTTTCATCGAATTCCAGTTATTCTTATTGCTATTATGTTGTTAGTATCAGTTCTATACTATTGAACTAGTGACACTTTTTGGAATAGTCAGAGATCGTTAAAAGTCTTGTAAGAATGCCATATTCCTGGATTTCAATGCTCTGGCTATTTTCCCTGGAGCAAATTTCAAAATTAAGGTTGAATGTCAGCATTAGTTGTTATAATTTCTGCTTAATATTGGGTAACTTTCTGAACACGTTAGTGCTGTCAAACCAAAAGCAACTGACAACACTTGAATTTGTTTATTGTGAATATAAAGAGCCTAAGTTATAATTAGTCTTGAGTCTGAAGATTTAGAATTTTGGTTTATTTCAACAGTATTTCCACCGATAAACTCTTTAGATTCCATAATCACTGACTATTGAAACAAAAAGGTTTCACTAGTAAGCTGTGGAGACACACTTATTATAATTTGTGCACCTGGTCTTTATTCAGAAACATCCAGTTGGTTTATTAATTTCTGGTACAGTGTGACTCCATTTATTTCTGCCATCATGATTCCTGGGTAAATGGAGTGCATTATAACTGTATTGTTTATTTTCTTTCTACTTTTATATCCACTTTATTTCAACCTACTATCTATCATTTCTAACCTAAAATATTTTCTCTTCATAACCTTTTTAAAAACTTCCTTTTTATTTAGTATTATAAATCCTAATTGAGTATAAAATAAAGAAGGGCAAACATTGAATTTTGAAATAAAAAAGACAATACAGTGTTTTCTCTGCATTACCTCTATATAATAACAATAACCCAGTGTTTTCTCTGCATGTCTGTTAAAAATAAAGGTAGATGTAAAAAACAGATACAATTCTTATCTTGTAATACCTTTTTTATTGGACTAACATAATTTTTTAATGACAAGCTTTCGGGAGAACCTCCCTTTCTCAAGTCTGAGAAATGCTTCAGACTTGAGAAAGGGAGGTTCTCCTGAAAGCTTGTCATTAAAAAATTATGTTAGTCCAATAAAAAAGGTATTACAAGATAAGAATTTTATCTGTTTTTTACATCACTGGACTAATACGGCTACAATCTCTACCTGAACAAAAATAAAGGTAGGTAGATGTATGTTATATGTTGAGTTTTACTTATTTTTAATTAGAAACTGACTTTCACAGCCTGAACCAAAATACAGAATATGCTTAAATATTTTAACTTGCCTAAATTTTTCACAACTATTCTATTTGGCTTGCATTTTGAAATAACATTTTTAGGTCACTACAACTTACTTTTCCTAGACGTTAAGTATTTTTTTCTACCCTAACATTACAAATTTATTATAGAATCAAAGAGTATTTTATATAGTGCATTCTCTCATTCTAAACATTTTCATTTGAAAGATTTTTTCCTGTGTATTTCCACATTCATTGCACACATATTTTATCCTTTAAAATCAAATTTCCTTTGAAGTCAAAATATTTTTTTTGTGACATTTCATTTTGGTTAAAAAATATCGGTACCAAGAAAAGTCCAACTTGATGGCCTTTTGTGGTTATCCTTTTTTTCCTTTTAGCTAATTAAGTATGTGAGTATTTTAAATCTTTTTATGCAATAGAATTAGGAATTTGAGATGGACCATTCCTAATATGGTTTAATTCTATATAATACTACCCAGTCACACAACCCAGTGGTTGAGTTTGGAAAAGTGTTGTAAGAAAAAAAGAGAATTTACAGATCTGCTCTGTTAAACTGGGGACTCCTGTATGTTAAAATTCCTAAGATGAATGTTAAATGAAACATAATCTTGCAGACAAGTTGGAGATCATTAAGTGCATCGATCTAAGCTAATGATTTCTCCACATTTGATTTCCTCGTCTCTGAAATCTGTTAACCTAGCATAGAAGTAGAAAATTGCTACAACTTGCACCTGTGGCATTTGCTTTGAGAGTGCTAATGTGGAATTGTGACCCGCTGTTTCTGGTTACCATTTAACCCCCTTCTGACATTGGCTAATTTAACCTCTAATGCACCTTTGCTGCCAGTATCAACCATTTGGCTTGACTCTGGTGATCCTGATATCCTTAAACTAGAACTCTTACTCACTGTAAGAATTGTTAATGTACTTTCTTTATACCCAATGTTAAACTGGATCAACTTTTCTGGACTGGATGATATATTTTACAATCCCTTTGTTCTCACTACTCTACACATACTGAGGTCCAAATGATTCTTGATCATTATAGTCAACATAATTCTCTTTCACTCTACAACTTTCTGAGTGAATGGCAAAATCAGTCATACTTTGCCTCACACTCTATATATTTACATTTCTTTCTCATTTATTATATTTTATTTCTTCAGTGTTTTAGTGTTTAATGCCCCCCTTATCTAGTCTCAATTTCTTGCAATGAAACATTAGATCGATGCTGTCAGGGTCCCACGGGCGGCTGCGAGGGGAGGTTGCAGTCCGCTCGCGGCACTCACCCTCCAGCCGTCCGCGGTCCCCTTCTTGGCGCATGCTCGGCGGGCGGCATCCTCCCAGCCATGGATGCCGCCCGCGTCTTCCTCTGTGTCCCCCAGCGGCAGCATGCATGACGCTGCACGCTGGGAGACCGCCCATTTTAACAAATGCCGGGGTCAGACACCTGACCCGGCGTTAAAGGCACAGTGCCTCAATCACAGTGGGAGGTTTAGATATCTCCCACGTGTGATTGTTAATTCTGATTGGAAATTATCCAATCATAATTAACCTATGGATTTAAATACTTACCTTTCCTGTTCCTCTCTGCCCTGTTGTGGTCTTTACTTGCTAGTATTACTACTGAACTTGTGTTTCTGGTTACGTACTCTCTGGCTTGTTTATCCGACTTTGTGACTTTCTCCTACCCTTTGACCTCGGCTTGTCTATCGTTATTCTGTCTTCTGGTTCCCCTTTACTCGGCTTGTTTCCTGACTATTCTTTGTGTGCTTAGCCCGGCCACTCTAAGGTCCGGTACTGCACTTTGTGTGTGTGTGTGTCAGCGTGTTTGGTTCCCCGAATCGTGACATTTGCAATCTTTTCTGCCTGTAATATTTCATACCTTCTTGGTTTTTGGTTAACTTTTTCATGTTACAACTTGTCAAGACTTTGATGTACTATTTACACCTCTTTAATGCTCCTGGTGCAATTTTGACAAATGCTAAAACAATGTTTGTTTGTGTTTTACTTAAAAAAAAAAAAATACATGGGCTAGTGCAAGTAAAATATAAACTGCATTGTCTAAGAAAATGTTCTGTTGCTTGTGGTTTGGAGTAGTATACACCTCTGTCTTTTCCGAGGTGGACAAATATTGTCTGACTGATGAATCAAACCTTCTCCCTCTAGTGAATTTTGCAATGTAGAATGACCCTTCTCTTCTTTATGTAATGAGTCCTAAGGATTTCAAGGTTATTTTAAGCCTTTGCTGTATAACCAATTAGTATAAATCTACTTAAAATGTTCCATAATATACAGTATTTACTTGAATCTATTGCACCTTCAAATCAAATGTGCGCTTAGATTTTTGAAACCAGGATGCTGACAATATTTTTTTTAGCAAATGTAATGCACATTTGTACAAGAATATTCTGTACACCAAGTCTTGAATCCCTAACACAGCTAAGTGAATGCGAATTTCCCCCCGAGGAATTTTTAATTTTGCCCCGGTGATGAAATACTGGTATTTCCAAGGAAAAAGATAAATTACAGTTTCATAATACTATAGCCTGCAGATGTTCAGTAATAAATTAAAGTGTGACAACTACAAAGATTACTACAAATTGTAAAAAGGAACCCTGCAGAGATGAGCTAGCAATGTTTTAAGACTTGGGCTCATCTTACTGAATATTTACTGAAGATGTAGGGGTACCCTCAAGCATGGCCTTTGTTAAAAATACTTTAAATATAAATGTGCAATATTCAGCTTGCTATTCTTTATCTTCTTTGCTGTGGCATTTGGTACACATTTTGTCTTGCTGTTGTTTCAGAAATGTACAGTAAGTAAAGTTTATCCTCACTCTATGTTGGCATAGGTTTTGCATTGAAAAATTCTAAAATGCAGTGGATTTTGGCGCATTAGAGTTAAGTACGAATGGGGAAATGCAAATTTTCCCTCAGCGAATTTCGAATTACCCCTTTCATACTTGAATCTACTGCTCAATTGAACCTAACGTGCATTCAAATTTTGGAAACTTTATTTTTCCAACAAAGATGCACCTTAGATTCGAGTAAATATGGTACTTAAACTTTCTTAAAACATTAATATGCAACACTGTGTTGTATTTTGTGCTTATAGGTAACAAAAACTTAAAACAATTCCTTAAAATGAATCAGTAGCTGTGTTCAATATTTAATTATGTAAAAAAAAATTGAATTATGTTTTGGTTGGGCACATCCAGACAGAACACAACATATATGTGACAGACAGGCAACAGAATGTGTAAAACCCACACCTCTATAAGACAATTGTACAAAAACAATCACTTTTCGTAGTAATGAAAGTAGCTTCCTCTCGGGATATTCCAGACTTTATCCCTTACAAAATGGAAAATGTATATAGATGCTGCTAATTTGTCCTTTTGTTAGGATATTTGTATTTGTTTTTATTATTGTGTCCCTGAAGAAGTCTTTGTCAGACGAAACATGTTGGACCATATTTGTTGTTTTACTTTTTATACATACTAACTAAAGCAGATTTCTTAACCATTTCCTGAGTCCGGACTTCCATATTGTGGCGATGCCAGCAACCAGCTGAGAGGGAGTTCTGGAAATACCTCTCATTTATCCAAGGGGAGTCACCCTAAGGCGATCTTACTATCTACATCTTGTGAGTTCCTCTTATATTTGCGCAGTTCTTATGTTTGTTTACAATATCACACTATTGTGTTATATTTTGTTTCTGTAGATTATCAGCTATACTCCTCTGCCATCTATATACAGAACACAACATAGCTTACATTGTGTTGTACGTCCACGTAAGAAAATATGTAGGTGGTCCCATGGCACACTTGAAAAGCATTAAATAAGAGAAAGACCTGAAGGTATCAATTTACTAGGCTAGGGAGAGTGTAAAAATGCAAATGTAGCACACAGACAACATGAATTTGTTAATGATGTACATAAACCATAGGGCTATAATGTTCCACAGTATATTTAACAGAGATATACACGATAAATGTTATGAAATATGGCCTTTTATAATTGACAGTTTTAACAATATTTCAAAGCAAGCTTAGTAAGCCAATGTCTTATTTTTCTACACAAATTAACATAATTTTGTTTGCCATTTTTATAGTTCATAATAAGGAGCAAATTTAGAATGCTTTATTTTAATATTTATAGATTTTAACCGCTACAACAATGTTCAACAGTTGAACTGAGTTTAAAAATCACATAAAATAAATAGATTCTTGTCTTTTCAAGCTAGCAGCTTCAAGGCAGCCGAAACACATGCTATTTACTAAGAGCTAAAAAATTAGTGAAAAAACTTTTTGAATGTCTTGGAAAATAAATCCATATCAAGCTTATTGATCAACTCCTCAAAGATGTATGTCAAGGAATAGGAATCAGCATCATGAGCGTTGAAATTAAAAAATGAAAATAGATTGTAGGTTTTGCAAAAAACAAACAAACAAAACAAATACAATAAACTCTCTATTGTCAGTAGATTTGGCAGGGGTCCATCCTGAATAATGCATCCAACTGAGTTCACTAAGTTATATTTATAACTGCAAGCTATCTTTTTTTTTTTAAAGCAGATATTACTTTGAACTAAACAATGTCAGTTGATTCCAACCAGTTGTGTTATATATCACTGACATTCAGGAGTAATATTATATAGCAAGACAATTTTACCCAGAAATTGACAATTCACTTTCAAAGTCTCTGAAATTTGACAAGTATCGAATAGATCCCCTATACATTTAACCAAAATATACTGATCAGCCTTATCATTAAAACCACTAACTAGAGTTGGGCGAACCCG